TTTCCCCGAATTCCATACCCTTCCTGTTTGATTTTCCGCCTTTCGTGGGGTACACTGTCGAAAGCCTTGGCAAAATCTAGGTAAATATTGTCGATTTTACCACCCCGATCCAGAATATGGGTCCAAATATCCAATACCTTGAGCAATTGTGTTAAGCAAGAGCGCCCCGGCATAAAACCGTGTTGGCAATCTTTTACAAGGTTGTTTCGTGGTAGATGTTCCATCGCGGCATCTCTGATAATACTCTCAAGTACTTTACATATTATGCTGGTCAGGCTCACCGGTGATATGGTGCCACCTTACACAAGGCTGTAGGGGAGGTCCCAATAATAATAAAAAAAACCTCACCCCGCCAGGATTCGAACCCACGATCTTATGATTGTGACCGGGGAACGTTACAATCATAAGATCGTGGGTTCGAATCCTGGGAGGGTGAGGTGTTGATTATATATACAGTATATATAAGAATGCATGATCCATGAGTAAATGTAAAAAGTATGTCACTGGTAACAGTTAGACACCTGTAAAACTGCAAATAACTGTACAGTATTATATGAGATTTTTCTTGAAAGTTGATCTAAATTTTGGCGCCATTCACAATATTTACAATGACAAATGTGGCCCAGTGCTTACAAAAGGTTGGGGACCACTGCTATTCTAACATCCTAGTTTCTGTCCAAACTCCTAGCCTCTATCCCAACCCCCCAGTCTCTCGTTAATGTATTTTCCCCATCCAATTACTTAATAACTGCGTCAGTTCCCAACAGATGGCGGACCAATGCACTATTTCGTCCTAAATACTCTTCAGCAATGGTATAGCGCATTAAGCTGTATTATATCATGATATTGGCAGGAATACATATTTATATATCTTTAGATGTTTATATTTTATTATAAAGAGGTCTGTTTCATAATATGCGTTTATTTATATCTGTAATCTTATGGTTCCTCCCATCCAATCACTTAATAACTGCGTCAGTTCCCAACAGATGGCGGACCAATGCACTATTTCGTCCTAAATACTCTTGAGGAATGGTATAGCGCATTAAGCTGTATTATATGAAGATATTGGCAGGAATACATATTTATATATCTTTAGATGTTTATATTTTATTATAAAGAGGTCTGTTTCATAATATGCGTTTATTTATATCTATAATCTTATGGTTCCCTCCATCCATCACTTAATAATTGCGTCAGTTCCCAACAGATGGCGGACCAATGCACTATTTCGTCATAAATACTCCTCAGCAATGGTGTAGTGCATTAAATTGTATTATATCATGATATTGGCAGGAATACATATTTATATATCTTTAGACGTTTATATTTTATTATAAAGAGGTCTGTTTCATAATATGCGTTTATTTGTATCTGTAATCTTCTGGTTCCTCTCATCCAATCACTTAATAACTGCGTCAGTTCCCAACAGATGGCGGACCAATGCACTATTTCGTCCTAAATACTCCTCAGCAATGGTGTAGTGCATTAAACTGTATTATATCATGATATTGGCTAGAATACATATTTATATATCTTTAGACGTTTATATTTTATTATAAAGAGGTCTGTTTCATAATATGCGTTTATTTATATCTGTAATCTTATGGTTCCTCCCATCCAATCACTTAATAACTGCGTCAGTTCCCAACAGATGGCGAACGAATGCACTTTTACTTTTACTTTTATCCTCTTCGCCACTGATCGGCTTGTTAGCCGCTTGGGCGATCGGTCACGTCTCTTTTCATTTATAATCTTCACCAAAAGATCGGCTCGCTAGCCGCCCGGCCGATCGGTCACGTCTCTGACACGCACTGTTGGCAAATACTGGGCATGCACCGGCTCCTGAATGTACCTGAACCCGCTACGGTGTTGGTCAAGTCTTCTCTTGAAAGAGCTCACAATCGGTGCCGTCACAACACTCTCTGGTAGATTGTTCCAAGAGTTTACAACCCTCACTCCGAAAAAGTTTGCCCTCACGGTTTTCTGGACTTGTGGCTTCTTTAATCTGGAGCTGTGACCCCTTGTGGGACGAGCGTCCGCTAGCTCCAAGTAAGGACACTCAACTGAGTAGTGCCCCCTGAGATGCTTATACACCTCAACTAGGTCCCCCCTTGCCCGTCTGCAGTATAAGCTAGGCAAGTTCAGGCGCTCCAATGTCTCAGGGTAGCTGAGGTGCCGAAGTGCAGGCACCAGTCTGGTGCCCCTCCTTTGAACATTTTCATCCAACTGACAGTCCCTAGCATATCTCGGGGACCAGATGGGGTAACAGTACTCCAGATGGGGAAGCACTTCACTCCTGAAGATCGTTCCGAGGGACGGACCGTCTAGATATCTGAACGACCTTCTTATAAGACCCAATAATTTATTTGCCTGATTTACCTTCTTCTCACAATGGCCCGAGAACTTCAGCTCATTGTCAACATACACACCTAGGTCCTTCTCACACACAGTCTCAACTAGTGCATTTTCTTCATCCCGTTGGGACATTTTATACGCCTCCTTACCGTTGGTACGCCCCAGGTGCATTCTCTTACACTTCGTGACATTGAATCTCAGCAGCCATTTCTTCGACCATTCCTGGAGCCCACAGAGGTCCTTCTGCAGCTCTTCACAGTCCGCTTGGTTCTTAATTTCCCGAAATAACTTGCCATCATCGGCAAACATTTGTATGGAGGAGTGTACAACGTCAGGCATGTCATTTATGAAACAAACAAACAACAGCGGGCCCAATACACTGCCCTGTGGTACCCCACTTGTTACAGGTACAGATGACGATTTCGTGCCATTAATCACCACACACTGCTTGCGGTCATGTAGAAAGTCTTCTATCCACGCTAGGACATTTCCCCGAATTCCGTACCCTTCCAGTTTGATTTTCAGCCTTTCGTGGGATACACTGTCGAAAGCCTTGGCAAAATCTAGGTAAATATTGTCGATATTACCACCCCGTTCCAGAATATGGGTCCAAATATTCAATACCTTGAGCAATTGTGTTAAGCAAGAGCGCCCCGGCATAAAACCGTGTTGGCAATCTTTTACAAGGTTGTTTCGTAGTAGATGTTCCATCGCGG